TTTTACTTTTATTTTTTGAGATTAGTGACACTCTGAAACAATTCTTTGTTTGGTTTTGGTTGTTGTTGATTTTTGTTTGTTTTGTTTTTCAAATCAGGGTTTCTCTGTGGCTTTGGAGATTGTCCTGGAACTAGCTCTTGTAGACCAGGCTGGTCTTGAACTCAACCATGCCCGGCCTGAAACAACTCTTTAGATAATGTGTGCAGTATAGTATAGAATAAAATAAGAAAACTTGACATTTGTTCTGATTTAGTAGGTATATATAGGCAGTGGTTTCTTTTTTCATTTATTACCATGAAATAAATACATATCAGTCTATTGGCAAAAGTTAATCAAAACTCATACACTGTTGCATGGTGGTATTTGAGTTGAGAGAGCTGTAAACAAATATAAAGATGCAGCATTAAGTCATAATCACAAAGATTCAGTTGTAGTAATATGCTTTCTGTTTATATTGGCAGTGAGGTCAGATGTTGGAAATACTTTTTCAGAGTGCTTTGCAACAACAGTCATCTCTCTCGGAAAGTTCACCTCTAGAGGATGTGTTCAATCAAATCAAGTTTGTAAAACAATTGAGTAGAAAAAAGAGGGATGCCCTAAACAATAGAGGTGCAGTTATTAGACTGAGAATGAAACCTACAGATTTTTAATTGGTTATATTGGGTCATTAAAAAAATAAAGATAATGGCATTGAAGATATGGTGTGACAGTTAAGAATAACTGGTATTAGCTAGGTGTGGTGGCACATGGCTTAATCCAAGCACTCCGGAGACAGAGGTAGGTGGATTTCTATGAGTTTGAGGCCTGGTTGATCTATATAGTGAAGAGCTACTGGCCCTCAAAAACAAAACAAACAAGAATACTCATTACTCTTACAAAGGACCTGGGTTCAGTTCCTAGCATCCATATGGGGAGTTGCAGCTGTCAGTAACTCCAGTTCCAGGGGATCTACCATTCCTTCCTGGCTCCTGTAGGCTCCTGCATATATCAGTCTTGTCACTCTTACACATAAAATAAAAACAAATAAATCTCAAGTGTAATGATATTCATGGGAAACTATTAGTGAATGTCAGCATGCTATAAAACGGAATGTACACACCTAGATTGAGGCTTTTTCTCTTGAAATGAATAGTCATTCAAAGGTCACATTCTCTTTACTTTTAAGGCTTTATATAGGGTGAAGATGGGCTTGACTTCATGTAAAACTAGAGTTTCTTTTCCATTGATAGGTTACAAAAGAAAGCCTCAGACTTTAGCTCTAGTCACTGTCACCCTTTGAAGCTTTGCCATCACCCTTAACTTTCAGTTTACTGAGACTAACATTATCCTTTATTAGTATCCTTTATAGTATTACATTTCCGGGTGTTTTCCATAATCTGTTAATTCCCATAAGACCCTAATGTGCCTAGCCTCTTCTTTCCTTTGTTCACTAATGAATTATGGCTTGCTGTCAGTAGATTGTGTTCTCACTTTATAGGTCCTTTCCCCTTAGAGTTAGACATTGCTTCCCTTGTGATACTCTTAAGTGTCCTTTTCATGCTCACCTGTCGTTGGACCTGGAGGTATGAGATAGTTCCTTGCTGTTGTTTAGGTCATTCTTTCTCTTCCCCCCAGAGCTCCAGATTTTAAAATCATGTTTTCATCTAAAACCAATTATTGTTGCTATTCTCTAAAAGCTCAGACGATTCCATTCAACTCTTGAAGATTTTAGTTCTTAACCCAATGGCTAACTGTACAATACCTTCATGTCTGACAATTATATTACAGCAGTTTGCTGTCTCAGACCCCCTTAGTTTTTGCAGGTTTTCTGTTGTGTTTTGTTCTGTTAGTTTTTTTGTTTTTCCTTTTTCTGAGATAGGTCTCTATAGCTCAGGCTGGCCTGGAAGTCACTGTATAGTTCCCCAATACAGCAAATGATATTAAAACTCTGTAAGACACCACAAATAGAAACTGTAGGCCTGAATGTTGCTCTGGATGAGCTATTAAGAGGTAAGTCAATTTGAAGGCCTAGGGCCTCAAAATATTTAGTGTTTATAAGCATTGTATACTTGGGCTGCACTAAACTTTAAACTATTTTTAAAAATCCTTGTCTTAGTTAAGATTTTTATTGCTGTGAAGAGACACCATGACCACAGCAACTCTTTTTTTCCCCTTCCCTCCCTTTGGTTTTTCAAGGCAGGGTTTCTCTGTGGCTTTAGAGGCTGTCCTGGAACTTGCTCTTGTAGACCAGGCTGGTCTTGAACTCGAAGAGATCCGCCTGCCTCTGCCTCCTGAGTGCTGAGATTAAAGGCATGCACCACCACCGTCCGGCTCCATGGCAACTCTATTATAAAGAAAACTTTTAATTGGGGTGGCTTACAGAACTTCAGTCCTTTGTCATCATGTTAGGGAACATGTTGGCACACAGGCAGATGTGCTAGATTTGAGAATGCTATATTTTGCATAGGAAGTCAACTGATAGTCACACTAATGTAAGCTTGAGCAAAAGAGACCTCAAAGCTACTCGAACACTGACACACTTCCACTGACAAGACCATAACTCCTAATAGTGTCACTCCCTTTGGGGGCCATTTTCTTTCAAACCATTACAACCTTAAAACATTTTCCATCCTGGCTTCTCCAGACAGGGTTTATTTATAGCTTTGGTGCCTGTCTTAGAACTTGTTCCATAGACCAAGCTGGTCTCAAACTCAAAGAGATTTATTTGCCTGACTCTGCCTCTTGAGTGCTGGGATTAAAGGTGTGTGTGAGTTCACGCCACCACTGCCCCGGCCATACTTTACTTTTTTATTTGTTTTTGAAGTGGTTTCTTGAAGCCAAGCTTGGCCTCTTGCCTCTGCCTCTTGAAGGGCTGGCTGGGATTCACTTTCCCTTATATTGTTCTCCATTCTTCCTTTTTTAAATCCCCCTACTAAGAAACTTCCCTTTTTGGTAACAAGTGTTCTTTTGTGTTAATTTTATAGCATTTTCTTTAAATATTTTAGCTCATGGTTTTCTTACTTCAGTTCTTACCTTTTCATTTGTGATTTTAGTATCCAAATACATAACTGTAATTTTGTTAGTATCTTAAATTCCTCATCCCCACTCACCTATCTTCCGTTTCTTTCTCTTACTTCCCTTTTGCTTTTTGGAGGCAGGGTCCTACTTTATCTCAAGCTGGTATGGACCTCACTTTGTAGTCCAAACTGACCTCAAAACTTGCAGAGGGTTGATGGGAGTTCCTCATGAGTCTCTTAAGTGTTAAGATTGTAGGGGAAGAAGGCCTGGCTCTGTTTTGGCTAGGCATTCAACACTCTCCCCAATAGAATGTCTTGTATTTATTCTTTGATAATTTGGTACATGTAAATAGAGCATCTTGATAGTATGTAACCCAATTCCTATTTTCCTTCCAGGAATCACTTCTCCCTCCACATGCCTGTATCCTCAGTAACCCTAATACTCCCTTTTGTGATCATAACTGCAGTTCACAGCTCTTTTGTGATCATAACTGCAGTTCACAGCTCTCCTTCTGTCCTCTGGCTCTTATATTCTTAAGCCCTTCTGTGATTCTGTCTCAGCTGGGGCAGGGGTGGGGGCGTCCCATTCAGGGCTGACCACTCAGTGGAGACTTACTCTCAGTACTTAGACCAGTTTGCTGGTTATTGCAGAGAGAAGCTTCTCTGGTTAGAGCTGAGAACAGGTCTAATCTGTGGATCTGAGCATATTTAGAAGGCAATTTGACAACTTATTTGGCCAGATTTATATTAGGGAGCTCAAATTCCATTCTGTGGAGCAGACTTTAAATTAAACCTTCAAAATAATTGGTTACTCCTCTGACTTTCATGCCAGTGTTGCACATACCAATGGGCTCATCTGGTTTCTTTGTTTAGTCTTAACATTGCCTTAGCTGACCTCATAAAAATCAATAATTATTAGCTGGTTTGGCTATGTCAGCCAGCAAAAGTACCCTGATCTCTTGCCTGGACTTCTGTTTTAAGAGTTTGAACTATTCTTACACTGTCTCATTGAGGTTTTATGCTGTTTTTAGTTTTATATTTCTGTTGGATGATCTTCCTAGAGTGGCCTGAATTTTCATATTCTGCTTAGAATTCTTCTGCTAAGAATTCTTCATGGGCTTATTTCATAGAGAACAAAAGAAAGAAATGACATGGTATACGCGGCCCTTGATTTTAAATTAGTTTATTTTAAATTAGATTTTATATTCTGACATTGTATATTCTTTTACCCTGTTGAAAATGCAGTAGGTAGTGTAATATACATTCTTCTGTGAAGCTTCCCTAGATCTTGAAGCCATTTTTAGACACTAGATTTTTAGTACAGATTGTACTATTGTAGCATCCTGTTAGCCAAGGGTTCTGGACTTTAACATTAAATCTATATTTTGCATATTAAAATTAGAAAATTTGAGGATATATCAGTCATTGTTGGTATTTTTAGAGTAAAATTACATTGTCTTTATTTGATAAAATTTCTTTGGAAAGCCTCATAAAACATAGTAGGTAGTAAAAATCAGATGCAAAGTTGAATGGGTATTATGACTACAGTTCTATTTTAAAATGCTTAATTAGGTCTGTGGGTGTAGATCAGTTTTAGAGTACTTGCCTAGCATGTGAATTTGACTAACAGAACTCAGTCCCTGAGTAGATAAACACAGACTGATAGCAGCTATTTTGGAACTTTAGTGATTTTGATAGTATTTGTATATTGTATTGTATTTTATAATTTGAATTGTATGCACCTTTTTCAGATATTTGGATTAAAAAATAGAACCCTCAATTAAAACTCTGATGTAAGTAAGAGTACTCATAGTTTGCTGAGGAAATTTTTTCTTTCATAGTGGCTTTTCCAGACAGATAGTATTGGATTGCTGTTAAAAGTTGCTGTTGTAGTGACCAGCAACAGATAGAAGTACTTTAAGATTGACTCATGTAACTGCTATTTCCTAAATGTTAATTACAAGTTTTCTGATTTGAATATAGTTTTTGTTTGTTTGTTTCAAGGTATCAGTTTTTGGAAGAAGCTTTTCAAAATCAGAAAGGTGCAATTGAAAATCTGTTGGCTAAACTTCTTGAAAAGAAGAATTATGTTCATTTTGCAGCTACACAAGTGCAGAATAGGTAAGTCTGTTGCATAAAAAAAATTGCTGTAAGAATTGTTAAGGAAGAATGAATCCAGATTAAATTTATTTTCCTACTACATTAAACTTTTGTACCAGATGTAATTTTTAATAGGCAAAATGATAAAATTTGAGCTTGATGTATTTCTTAATTGAGCAAAGTTTACTAAAAACATTAAAAATATTAGGATACTTCTTTGACTTTATTATTAATAAGATTTCAATGTATATAAGCTTTGAACTTTGAAAAGCAAGTTATTATGTAGAGAACTGAATTATAAAATTAAAAGTAGAGATTGTATGGAAGATACAAAGAGAGTATTGTTAGTGGATAAAGGCTTTAGTGGGTAAGAATTTTTGATGTATAAGCATGAGAGGATAATAACCCTGCACCCACATAGAAAGCTGAGTGTGGCTGTACACCCACTGTAAACCCAGAGCAGTGAGTGTTAGAAACAGGATGACTGGGCCTTGCTGCCCACCAGCCAAGCCTCAGGCTCAGTGAGAGACCATATCAAGGAAATTAGGGGAAAATGGTAGAATAGGCCATCTAGCATCTCTTGGCCTCTACACAGTGCTCTTGCCTACACATATGTATGCAAACATAACACAACTTACATAACACAACTAGCATCTCTTGGCCTCTACACAGTGCTCTTGCCTACACATATGTATGCAAACATAACACAACTTACATAAAACAAAGCCCACAGTAGTGAACAAATTTATTTTCCTGTGAAACTACTACTTTATGTTGGGTATTATGACATATACTTTATGTCCAACTTTATGTTGGAGGTCTGTATACTACTGTAGTTTGTATACTACTGTAAACCACTGTAAACTACTACTTTAACCAGGCAGGGGTGGCACTCGCCGTTAATCCCAGCACTTGGGGGCAGAAGCAGGCGGGTCTCTGTGAGTTCGAGGTCACACTGATCTACAGACTGAGTTCCAGGACAGTTTCCAAAGCTACAGAGATACCCTGTCATCCCCCAAACACACACACACACACACACACACACACACACACACACACACACACACATCGTGGGTTCTCAGAATCAAAACCTGTTTCCTCATAAAAAAAGCTTATAATCCTCTAGTCATCTCTCCAGCTCTCCCTTCTCCCCAGTTTTTTTTTTAAATCATCATTTTTTTATTTGAATTAGAAATAAGATTGATTTACATGACAATCCCAGTTCCCTTCTCCCTCCCTTCCTCCCCTACCAACTCCCCAACTAAAACCCTATCGCATACCCTTTTCTTCTATTCTGCACCTGACTCAACCTTTCTGCTCCCTCGTGACCTCTGCATCCTTCCTCTTCTTCCCTTCTCATTCTCGTAGCTCCCTCCCCCCTCTTCCCATGCTCTCAATTTGCTCAGGGGATTGTGACCCTTTCCCCTTCTCCAGGGGACAATGTTTGTCTCTTTTTTGGTCCTCCTTGTTTACTAGTTTCTCTGGCAGTGGGGATTGTAGGCTGTTAATCCTTTACTAAAATCCACATATGAGTGAGTACATATCATGTTTGTCTTTTTGTGATTGGGTTACTTTGCTCAGAATGGTTTCTTCGAGTTCCATCCATTTTCCTGAAAATTTCAAGATTTCATTGTTTTTTTTCTGCTGAGTAGTACTCCATTGTGTAAATGTACCACATTTTCTCTATTGGATCTTGTGGTAGACTGATTCCCATTTTCCTGAGGAATCTCCATACTGATTTCCAAAGTGGCTGTACAAGTTGGCACTCCACCACCAGTGGAGAAGTGTTTCTCCCCAGTTCTTAGGACATGTTTTTAAGTACAATAAATCTGTCTGAAACTATTCCTTGCTTCCAGTATACTTCATGACTTCTGTATTTTGGTTTAGTTGTTTTATGTTGGAGGTCTGTATATCATACTACCAATGATTTGTGTGTGCACGCGCGAGCGCGCGCGCGCGCGCGCGCGCGCGCGCACACACACACACACACACACACACTTACTTACTTGGTGGAATTCAAGACAGGCTTTCTCTGTTTAACAAACTTGACTGTCCTTGAACTCACTTTGTAGACCAGGCTGACCTCGAACTTGCAGAGATCATCTTGCCTCTGCCTCCCAAGGCGCTGGTATTAAAGGTGTGTGCCACCACTGCCTGGCAGGAACTTTATTTTTTATTTACTGTTTCCATTTACTTTAATAAGGACAGAATTCAGTAAAATTGAATAAGCAAATAAATAAGCAGTGATATACAAGCAAAGAAGAAAAATTACATTATTTTGCTGAGATGTGTTTAAATTATATATGTATTTGGCAAATGAAAGAAATGATACAAAAGCAGAATACATAAAGATAGAGGCTAGATATTATGGTTGGGTGTTGACATTTTACTTACATTAATGAGATTATTTACTTCTCATTTTATTAGTATGAAAGCAATCTAGCACTTAATAGTTGTAGCCAGTGGTAATTTAATTATAATAGGTGAATATATTTATTTATAAAATATATATGATCTAGTTTTAAAAATGGATTGTTTCTTAAACTTAAACTTTGTTACCAACAAAAGAGGTCCTGAGCCACTGCTAACAGGTGTACTCCCTACACCCCAATGATTTCATATGCAGGGTTTTTTGTTTTGTTTTGTTTTGTTTTGTTTTTTGTTTTTTTCCCAGACAGGATTTCTCTGTGGCTTTGGAGGGTGTCCTGGAACTAGCTCTTGTAGACCAGGCTGGTCTCGAACTCACAGAGATCCACCTGCCTCTGCCTCTCAAGTGCTGGGATTAACTATAGTGTAAAGCAAGTTTGAGAGGAAACTATGAAAAAATCTTAATTAGAACCCATATTTTAAGTGATAAAGTTTGCAGTGAAAATAACTGCTTATAAGTTAAATTCCTGCTCTTTCAAAGGGTTGTTAACTATTCTTTGTGATAGTATTCTTTTGTGTTTTCTTTGCAGAAAGTATCCTACGTGGAATTAAAAAAAAAGGATTAGACAATATATGTAGCAAATTTGATTGACAGTCAATAGTGTTAAATATTTGTGTATCACATTCATGCCATAGTAATTTGATAATGTTCTACATATGAATTAACTGGCTTTTATGAGCGTAATTCAAATTACTAAATACTAATTTCATTCTTTGTATGACTTGTTTGGATCTAATTAAATGGTTAGTGCTGCTGCAACGTAAGTTGTACATGTTGACAAATATTTAACTTTAATTACTTGGAAAAGTTCCTATTTGTATGATTCAGACAAATAGGATAACCTAATAATGTATTTCTCTTACTCAGGATTAAAGAAGTGAACGAGACGAACAAAAGAGTAGAACAGGAAATTAAAGTGGCGATTTTCACCCTTATCAATGAAATTAATAAGAAAGGAAAATCTCTATTACAGCAGCTAGAGGTATGGTTAAAGCCAAAATAAAACAAAAACTGCTTCTCTTGCTCTTCAGCTATTCCCAATGTTTATTGAAAGCTCTTCTTCTTTTTTTTTTTAAAGATTTATTTTATTTATTACATATACAGTATTCTGTCTGCATGTTGGCTTGCATGTCAGTAGATGGTTGTGAGCATCTACCATGTGGTTGCTGGGAATTGAACTAGGACCTCTGGAAGAGGGGCCAGAGGTCTTAACCTCTGTGCCATCTCTTCAGCCCCAGAAAAGCTCTTTTAAATGGGTTGGGGGATATTCTTGCAGCATTTTCCTGAGGGTCCTGGATTGGTAATACTGGTAAAGAGAACTTTTTATGTTTAGGTCTTTGTAGTTAATTTTCATAGCATTTTGCTTTTTGCTTTTTTGGTTCACTTGGAAATCACCGTGTTAGTCTTGAACCTGTAGCCTATCTCTGTCTTCGGGTGCTGGAGACATGTACTGACATAAAACATCTTTTCTCTCTATTTTTTAAAGCCATATAACTAGCTAGGTAATAGTGATACTGTCTTAGGAACAAATTACTAAAGTATGATGTAAAAAAAGACAAAGCAAGCCCTTTGAATTTCTTTTCTTCCCTTTTACACGAGGCCTCCATTTAACTTCTTGGGCTTATGTTTGAGCTATTTATGTATTTTTGTAATTTCCTAAAAATGTTTCACATTTTGAGCTTAATTACTAATTTAATTGTATTAGGTTTCTGTGTTTCATATTTTGAGGTTAATATATAGTTACACATTTCCTGAGAATCTAGGACAGTTTTGAAATCTAAATTAAGTTTTTTTGTGTTTCAGGTTTTTTGGTTTTTTCAAGATAGGGTTTCTCTGGGTGGCCCTGGCTGATCTAGAACTTGCTCTATAGATGAGACTGACACCTGCCCCTGCCTCCTGAGTGCCACTACTGTCCTGCCCAAAATTAACTTTTAATCTAAATCTTTCCTGCCCAAGGTTGATGTTTTCTTAGAAAATCTGAAATGTGAATTTGTATGTATGTATGTGTTTAATTATTTAGGCTGAGTTTCCCTTTGTGGTCCTGCTGTCCTAAAACTCAACTCTGTGGACCAGTCTGGCATTGAACTCACAGAAGTCCAGAAGTCTTCCTGTTTCTGCCTTCCAAGTGCTGAAATTAAAGGCATGTGCCATCACTGCCTGTCCAAAAGTGAATTTTAAAGAAGTTGAATTAATGGATAAACATTAGATTATCCTTAGAGGTTGTTTCTATTTCATTGATCCACAGACCCCTTTAAAGAGACAGGAAGTTATATGCCTATAAAGAAGTCTTGAGCAAAATGTCTGAATTTTGTCTTTCGAATACATTTTCCATTGAACAATATTGATATTAAAAATCTTGAACATTAACGTTAAAGTTTGGAGCCTCTTTCTTATTGTACTTGTAGTCAGTGAGTTTTAACCTTAATAGATTTTTTTCTTTAAAATAACCATATGAATTCAGAGCATTTAGTAGTAGCTATTTTTGATACTTTTTTTCCTGTTCTGGTTTTTCGAGACAGGGTTTCTCTGCAGCTTTGGAGCCTGTCCTGGCACTTGCTCTGTAGATCAGGCTGGCCTCGAACTCACAGAGATCCACCCGCCTGTCTCTGCCTCCCGAGTGCTGGGATTCACCACCAGCAGCCTGGTTTTGGTGTTTTTGAGGCGGTTTCTCTGTGTAGCTATGTGTGTCCTAGAACTTCCTCTATAGTCCAGGCTGACCTCAAACCCTCAGAGATCTGCCTGCTTCTGCCTCCTGAGTACTAGATCAAAGGTGTGTGCTACCACTGCCTGGGTAGAATTGATGAATTCTAATGAGGCTGTAGATCAACATTCTGTCTGTTGAACACTTTTGTCCATTTATTTATATTATAAATGAGCTTGTTCCCTTTTAAAAAATACTCCTCAGTTAATGAAGTTGAATAAATTGGGGCGAAAAAAATGGTTAACAAAGAAGTAGATACATTATTTTTGGCATGATATAGGACATTGCCCACCCCTTTTTGGGTAGTGGTTTCTTTTGAGCAGTATATTCTTCCTTGCAATATTTTCTTGAAACTGGTTTCTCCTTGTGAACTTCGTTATATCAGTTTACTTAATTGTACCCTTAGACCTCTGGAATTTATCATTTTCTCTTTTGTTTTGAGAAATTTTAACCTTGTCCTCAAACTATACTAGTAGGTGGCATTAGTAAGTCAGTATTTTCTTTAACCCAGAAATCATAGTTTAGATTATATAAAAATGATTCTTCAAGGTCAGCTCATTGTATTGGATTAACCTAAATGTAGGAAGACGCTATTTTGCACAGTTATTATTTGATGAAGGAAAAGCCATGATGAACTATTGCTGATGTCCTGAATGAGTGGATTCACTTAGAGCAGGAATGTTTAGTTCCACTTTTGTTGGTTACTTTCCTTCTGATAGTTCGTACACTCATCAAATAATTACAAGCTTCCCTTCTTCCATTTTTTGAAGGAAATATAGGTATTTCTGTATGTGACCTTTGAAATTCTTCAGTGAAGCTCTTGTTCTCTTTCAGAATGTCACAAAAGAAAGACAAATGAAGCTACTGCAGCAGCAGAATGATATCACAGGCCTTTCCCGGCAGGTGAAGCATGTTATGAACTTTACAAACTGGGCCATTGCAAGTGGTAGCAGCACGGCACTACTGTACAGCAAGCGTCTGGTGAGAAACATAGTATCTTTATTTTTACTTAATGTACCTATTATTTACAAATGTAGAATGTCTATGTTTCAATTATAAAAACCTGTTTAAAGTGTAAATACACATTTTGGCTATTGTAACCATCTGTATATAAAGGTAAAAAGTAGCTGAGCTTGGTGGCATATAACTGTAATTCCAGCCAGCACTTGGGAAATTGAGGCAAGGGAATTGTGAATTCAAGGATAGCCCACATTTAATCTTAATTAACTACATTTAATCTTAAGACTAATGTGAATTTTTCTCTTGAAGATTACTTTTCAGTTACGTCATATTTTGAAAGCACGATGTGATCCTGTTCCTGCTGCCAATGGAGCAATCCGTTTCCATTGTGATCCCACTTTCTGGGCCAAAAATGTAGTGAATTTAGGTGAGAAATTATTTCATGGATATGATTTGGACTATTAAGTTGACAAAAGAAGACATCTAAGCAAGTTCTAGATAAAATTTTTAAACTTTGAGACGTGAATGACATAAGAAATGTGCTATGTTGGAAAAAAAACTTTAGTTGTAGGCTGATTTTTGCTTTTGGTGCTGGGGCTTGAAGGCTGGCCTCTTTCACTTGAGGGAAACTCTACTCTTCAGTTATTGTAGCGTGTGGTACATTTGTAGCCTTTCATTTTCAAAATTAGCATTGTTTCATATAGAAATGATTATTCTCTGCATAATACTTAGATGTTTAGTAATTTATGTCAAGTGGTGCAGTGGAGTAAGAACCTGAGGACACTGAAGTATTCTGTAGTAACATCCCAAGGAGTATTAGACTGAAAGGAACTCTTTCACTTGATAAATAAACTTGGTTTATTGCTCCACATTGTTAGCCTAAAGACCACGGGTGAAAGTTGTATGGGTAGACAATAACAAAAGCAAAAGAAACACAAAAACTTGAGAATTAAAATCTAAGTAAGTGTGCATGTTGTAATTTTATCTACTAAGGAGACTGAGACAGGAGGATCACTTGAGCCTAGGAGTTTGAGGCCACTGTAGGTGATATAGTACGATCCTGTCTCTTCAAAGTAAAATGAAATGGAACAAAATGAAATCTGCCATGGATTGGATTTTTTTCACTTTCAGAATAATCATTTGAATTACACTATTTAAAATAAGGCATTCTTTGAGTAACTGAAAGAAAAGAAGATGGAGTGAGAACACACAGAATTATAATAACCAATTTATTAAAGGGTGCAATGAAAAGACAAATTCACAGATACCGAGCAAAGCAGATGCCACCCGTGATCCCACTGCCTTTGTCCATCCTTTCTGCCCAGGGGTCAAGAGCACCAACCATGACACCTCTTGGCCACTTGGTCCCCAACCATGCCAAGCAAGAGTAAGAGAGCCTCCCCCTCCAGCTTATCAGTTGTAATGCTTCAGACAATACCACACCCTAGGGCTGATATCCCAAGTCTATAGGTGGAATGAGTTCCCACAACAAGAAAACACTAAACAAGATTATATACAGTAGGAACAATTATCACTTTTGTCCAGGTAGAAGAAAGGGTAATAATAAAAATGGAACTGTAACAAAGAACATCAAGTTAGAAACACATACTAAATGCTGAAATACTGTCCTACCCCGTCTTGGCAAGGCTCAGCAGTCTCTTTTTCCTTGTATCCTTCTTGTCCAGATTGGACAGTGTGCTTACTGTCAGCAGTTGAGGCAAGGGCAGTTATTTGCCTAATAAGCCAGTTTTGCCAAGAAGAAAACAAGCTATGTATGGAGTGTCTCTGGTGCCTGCCAGTCTCTTGGCAATAGTTCAGTGCTGCCATGGGTGACCTGTAGTTCTTAATAACCTATATAGCTTAAAGACTCAAGTTTTACATAATAAAAATAGTCTTTAAAAAGATGTGAAGCATGAGGACAGTGACCTTGAAGATGTAACAATATGCAAAATATCTGAGACGTAGAAATGTATATTGCAATATGAGAAAAATATCCTTAATTTGTATCAATATACAAAATATCTTAAGCAGAAGTAGAAACATACATATAGTATGACAAAAATAATTTTACATACGTATCAATATACAAGAATCGATACCAATGTAAATTGTCTAAAATTAATAATTGCTAAAATAGTTTATAAGTAGATACTATCTCTAGCTTATCAGCTGTCAAGTTGCAGACAAGACCACGCCCTAGGGCTGGTACCCCAAGGCAGAATGAGTTCCCACAACAAGAAAACACTCAATTTTGACCTTAAATGCAGCACCAGAAAATCACCATTGTTTGGCTCACTAGCAGAGAGAGAAATGGGGGTGGGAGAGGGGAGGGGAGGGAGAGAGAGACAGGATTCTACATTTTCAAAAAGTTTTAAAAAAATTGACTGTAACAGGTTTTTTTTTTTTTTTTTGTGGCCTGTCAGCATCTACCTTAAATTATGCCTTTTTATAACGTAGTCTCTAGTCTCAGAAAGCAATGACTGTATAAAAAGTGAACAGACCACTTTAAGGGCATAAATGGCTTAAAGCATTCAGAATTTCCATAGAAAATTATTTGCTTAGCAGGGTGTTATTTTACTTTTAACATTGGGAATTGGAAACCAGATGGGAAGATGGAGAGAAGACTCAGTGGTTAAGAGCACTGACTGTCCTTTTAGAGGACACAGGTTTGATTCCAGGCACCCACACGGCAGCTCACAGCTGTCTGTAACTCCAGTAACTCTTCTGGTGCACAGACATATATGCAGTCAAAACACTCATACAAAAAAAAAAAAGAAGAAAGCAGATAGAGTCAGTATAGCAACCAACATGAGTATCCTGGAGTCTTTGTCATGGAAGAATTGATTCAGACTGACTGGATCCTTCCTCTAATAATGTCTCTTTCAGTCTCCAGCCAGCTAGCCTGGGTTATGCAGCAGCAAAGACACCGTGCCTCAAACTAGCTGGAAAGGTGAGGACTGACATCCAAAGGTTGTCCTCTGACCTCCACATGTGCACTGTTGTGCATGCCCACAGCCATCCACACACACAAAATGCACATGCACATACATGTCACACCCAGGTGTAAGAATAGATAGTGTGTATTGAATAATGAGCTTGTTTTGGGGAGGGTTCAAGGGGCTTTGGAATCTATTTAGTTTCTAATTAACCATCTTTAGACCTAGCGCTCATCTCTGCTTTGCTGTTGGATGCTCTGAGGTGCTAATTGTCAGGAGGAGGAAAAGTTAGTGATTCTTTAAAGTGGGCAATTTAGTTAATTATTTGTAAATTCTTCTTATTTTTTTAAACCCTCAGGTAATCTAGTAATAGAGAGTAAACCATCTTCTGGTTATACTCCTAATGTTGTAGTTGGGCAAGTTCCTCCAGGTACAAACCACATTAGTAAAACCCCTGGACAGATTAATTTAGCACAGCTTCGACTCCAGCACATGCAGCAACAAGTATATGCACAAAAACATCAGCAGTTACAACAGATGAGAATGCAGCAACCGCCAGCTCCTATACCAACAACAACAACAACAACACAGCAGCATCCGAGGCAAACAGCCCCACAGATGTTACAACAACAGGTAAGCATTATGTCCCTCCATTATTGATAGAAATTAAAAAAGATAGTAAAACTACACTTTCATTCTATGTATCTGAATTACACATTCAGAGTTAACTAGATGGGAGTTCAAAGTTCAGAGATGGGATAAGTTTAAAGAATTAGGTGTTACATAAGGACATGGGAAGCAGTGACATTTTTGCCTCTGTATACTGTACTCCCACCCATCCACCCCCGACACACTCGTACACAATTGTGAGCCAAAGAACCACATTGTTTCTAAGATCTGTTGCGTTCTTTAGGCATTTGCTCAAATTATTCTTATCTTTGGTCTTTTGTTACTTACTACTTCACAATCAATAGTGTTAATTAAATGTTGAG